TAATAATAATAATAATAATAATTTATTTATACCCCGCCCATCTGGCTGGGTTTCCCCTGCCACTCTGGGCGGCTTCCAACAAAATATTAAAATTCAATAGTCTGTTAAACATTAAAAGCTTCCCTATACAGGGCTGCCTTCAGATGTCTGGTAAAAGTCTGGTAGTTGTTTTTCTCTTTGACATCTGGTGGGAGGGCCTTCCACAGGGCGGGTGCCACTACAGAGAAGGCCCTCTGCCTGGTTCCCTGTAACTTGGCTTCTCACAGAGAGGGAACTGCCAGAAGGCCCTCTGTTCTGGACCTCAGCGTCTGGGCTGAACAATGGGGGTGGAGAGGCTCCTTCAGGTATACTGGGCTGAGGCCGTTTAGGGCTTTAAAGGTCAACAATGAAAACAACAACCAAAAAAACCCATCTCTGAGGGGAAATGGTTTGCAAAAATGTGCTTAATTTGGGGAATTTTGCACATATCTCTCATCGATGGTGGTCAATGAAGGACTGGAGTTGTGTACTTATTTTATCAGCTTAAAATGCTGTTGGCCAGCCTTTGAATACGTATCCATCATGCATCTCCAACTTCAGGTCAGTCAAGAAAAGCAACACTTTGAATGAATGGGTTAGGGTGAACATTCTAAGCCTTCCATCTATTAGGGTCTCTAAAATGGGTCCACCCAATGTTGGCACACAATTCAACATCTTGATGTCAGTTACTCTTTTTTTCTTTTGAAAGAAAAACCTTCTATATAACCCTGGAGGAAACCAATTGATATCCCTTTGCTTATAAGCTATAAGTAGCAGCACACGTGGAAGGACTCACAGTTCATGCCAATTAGTTTTCGGGCCTAATCCCAAGTGCTGGTTTTGACCTATAAAGCCTTAAACAGCTCAGGACTGCAATACCTCCAGGACTGCCTCTTTCCATATGAACCTACCGGGATCCTGAGATCATCTTCTGAGGCCCTTCTTCATGTGCCTCCTCCTCAAGAGGTCCAGAGGATGGCTACATGAGAACAGGGCCTTCTCTGCAGTGGCTCCCCGTCTGTGGAATGCTCTCCCCAGGGACGTTCACCTGGCGCCTTCATTATACACCTTTAGGCACTAGGCAAAAATGTTCCTTTTTAACCAGACCTTTGGTTGACCTGATCAACATCCCATACCCTTTTAAAATGTTTTTGTTTGTTTTTTTGTGGGGGGGGCTCTTGAGTTGTTTTTATTCTTATTATGTATTTTGTGGTTTTATATCTTGATTTTATTCTGTGAACCGCCCTGAGACCCCCGGGTATTGGGCGGTAGAGTTGTACCCTTGTGTTGCGTAACCTTCAGGTTACGGAATCTTTGGGTTGCAGCCGCTGCAAACCCAGAAGTGTATACTTCCGGCTTTCGCTGTGTGCGCATGCGCAGAATCACTCTGCACATCGTGCACATGTGCAGAAGCGCTCAATCGCACCACATGCATGTACAGAAGGTTGCCTCTGGTTATGATGTTTTCGGGATACGGCCGGGCCTCCGGAAGGGATCCCGTTCGTTACCGGACGTACCACTGTGTAGAAATTCTAGTACAGTCATACCTCATGTTACGTCTGCTTCACGTTACGTTCTTTCAGGATATGTCTTGCGGTGACCCAGAAGTACTGGAAAGGGTTACTTTTAAGTTTCGCCGCTCGCGGATGCGCAGAACCACAAAATGACATCATGTGTATGCGTAGAAACGGCGAATCGCAACCCGCACGTGCGCAGATGGTGTTGCGTTCTTTTCATGTTGCGAATGGGCCTCCGGAACAGATCCCGTTCACAACCAGAGGCACCACTGTAATAATAATGTCAGATTTTGGCGTCACGCAGCTGCCACTGAAATTTAAGACTCCAAAGTCCTCCACTGTTCTACTACAACTATTTGCCATTTTAATTTTTTTAAGTTCTGTTTTGGATATTTACCATTCTGAGAGTTAAGCCTGCATCAATACGGTTGTCATTTACACCCCGGATGGCTTGCCCACCCATTGGGCAAATGGAATATTTGCCCAGAATGCTGGCTCTGCACATGATACTAAGCACTAAACAGATACTAATCCGATACTAATCAGGATGCTTTGTCTGCTATGGCTGCTCCTGGCAGTTCTGACACTTCTGCCAGTGTTCATTGGCTTGCCATGGTTTGGGAGAGACAATGAAAGAAATTGCCATGTTCCTAAGCTAATATCAACACAAACCGGCCTGCAACATTTTAGATTCAAGTCTATAGCAGAAACTTTTCAAAATGCAATACAATAAGGAACCCAGAAAGCAGTAGAAATATTTATCTGTATATTTTATAAATATCATATTGGGTTAAGGCCTGGTTAACCCCAAGAACATTTTTTGTTTTGTTTTGTAACGTATACATTTTCTTTTCTTTTGGTTGTTGTTGTTCTGTTGTTGTTTTTGTCTACATGGGTACTTTCTTCTTTTTGTGTCCTATCATACGCTGTGCCCTTGTAATTATGTACTTTTTATTTCTCAGTAAAGAATATAAAAAGAAAGCAACAAGAATAAACACCAGGAGAAGCAGAAAAAAAACCCAACCATTTAAAAGACCGTAGTTATATGCAGATTTCATCATGCGAAAGGCTGGGCTGGATGTATCCCTAGCCAGAATTAAGATTGCTGGAAGAAATATCAACAACCTCAGATATGCAGATGACACAACCTTGATGGCAGAAAGTGAGGAGGAATTAAAGAACCTTTTAATGAGGGTGAAAGAGGAGAGCGCAAAATATGGTCTGAAGCTCAACATCAAAAAAATGAAGATCATGGCCAATGGTCCCATCACCTCCTGGCAAATAGAAGAGGAAGAAATGGAGGCAGTGAGAGATTTTACTTTCTTGGGCTCCATGATCACTGCAGATGGTGACAGCAGCCACAAAATTAAAAGACGCCTGCTTCTTGGGAGAAAAGCAATGACAAACCTAGACAGCATCTTAAAAAGCAGAGACATCACCTTGCCAACAAAGGTCCGTATAGTTAAAGCTATGGTTTTCCCAGTAGTGATGTATGGAAGTGAGAGCTGGGCCATAAAGAAGGCTGATTGCCGAAGAATTGATGCTTTTGTATTATGGTGCTGGAGGAGACTCTTGAGAGTCCCATGGACTGCAAGAAGATCCAACCTCTCCATTCTGAAGGAAATCAGCCCTGAGTGCTCACTGGAAGGACAGATCCTGAAGCTGAGACTCCAATACTTTGGCCACCTCATGACAAGAGAAGACTCCCTGGAAAAGGCCCTGATGTTGGGAAAGATGGAGGGCACAAGGAGAAGGGGACGACAGAGGACGAGATGGTTGGACAGTGTTCTCGAAGCTACCAGCATGAGTTTGACTAAACTGCGGGAGGCAGTGGAAGACAGGAGTGCCTGGCATGCACTGGTCCATGGGGTCATGAAGAGTCGGACACGACTAAATGACTAAACAACAACAACAACAAAAAGGAATGAGCACAGAAACAAATCTTTCTTCGGTCTATGATTAAAAGCAGCAAATGAAGGGTCAAACACACCCACACACATACCCTGGTGCGAAGGGCTGCAGCAAAGTGGTAGAGCATCTGTTTGGCATGCAGAATGTTCCTGGCACCTCTAAGCAGAGCAGGGAGAGACCACTTTCTGAAACAATGGGCAGCTTCTGCTAGTGTAGCCAAAACTGTACGGAACTCGATGGACTAGTGGTTTGAGTCAGTATAAGGCTGCTTCATTTGAAAAGGACTTTCCATAGCCTGGGAAGGCACTACAAAGTCTCTTTCATCACTATCAGCCAAACTTCGTCAGTGGGCAGGGTGGGGTGGGCAAGGGGGAACAAATCGGGAGGGCAAGAAGAAGGGCCTCAATGGCGGAGCAGATATTATTCTTAACTGTTGTTGTTTGCATGGCAGCTGTGCCTTGATGCTGTCATTCGGTTGGAGAAAGCCCATCTGTGACCTACTTGGCACCTAAACAGAATAGGAGATGTCGTGCTGCCGAGAATTTGTGCACCTTGCTGGGAAGACTCATCGACATTTCTGCTGCAGGATCTCTGGCTTCTGAATCGTGAATCACTGTTGGTCTCGTGTTTAATGCGATGCAACCGGAGGCAAATGTCAGCCTCTGTCGCAGTTGCCCTTCCATCATATTGGGCCAAGAATATGGTGAAGTCTGTAAAGTGTGTGTCTGTGTGTGTCTAGGTCCTGAGCACAATTTCTTATGCTTTACAGCAGAATGTCCCAAATGCTGCTGGGGCACATGAGCATAGCTGTCAACCGTCCCTTATTTGGCAGGAAAGTCCCTTATCCCAGCGCTGTGTCCCGCTGTTGTCCCTTATTGATGATGTCCCTTAAATTTCCTGGGTTTCAAAGGAAGCAGCTCCTCTCCCTCCCTCCCTACTGGCCAGGGAGGAGGGAGGCTCCAACTGTGTTGCTTGGCTGTGTTGCTCACCCAATAAGGGGTCTAAGAACGACTGGGGGGTGGAGCTTGCATGCCTTGTGCCGATCAAATCGGCCGCGTTGCCTGGGGACTCGCCTTTGCTCAGCGCTTCCCAGCGGAGAGGTGACGGTGGTTTCCCTTGCTGCATCCCCTTTGCTGGGTTGCTGCGCTGTGGGAACCACCGCTTGAGGCTTCGTTTGGCTGCTGGCTGGGCTTTCTGCCTTTGGCTCGGAGGGGCTCAGAAGCTGAACATACCTGTGCTCTGAAAATCCCTTATTTTGGCTGCTGATCCCTTATTTTCGAGGCTGCTGGTCCCTTATTTTCAAATCTGTAAGTTGACAGCTATGCACATGAGTGTACCGAGGAAGAAACCCATGAATGGAAAATGGTACATCCCCCACAGACCCATCCTGAGAGAAAGCTGTTCGCTGCACCTCTTCATGATTCACAGCACTGAAGTTTGTCCAGGCAACTTCTGGATGAGATGAGAACTCTCCAACAGAATGACCTACCCTTAGAGGAGGCACATCTTGATAAAGAACTCATGAGGCCAAGCAGCTTTTACTCTGAGTGGGTGGGATAGCTCAGTGGGTACAGCATGAGACTCTTAATCTCAGGGTCATGGGTTTGAACCCCACCTTAGGCAAAAGATTCTTGCATTGCAGAAGGGCTGGGCTAAACGACCCTTGTGGCCTCTTCCTACTCTACAGTTCTATGTTTCTATGAGACAGCATCTTAAAAAGCAGAGACATCACCTTGCCAACAAAGGTCCGTATAGTAAAAGCCATGGTTTTCCCAGTAGTGATGTATGGAAGTGAGGGCTGGACCATAAAGAAGGCTGATCACCGAAGAATTGATGCTTTTGAATTATGGTGCTGGAGGAGACTCTTGAGAGTCCCAAGGACTGCAAGAAGATCAAACCTATCCATTCTGAAGGAAATCAGCCCTGAGTACTCACTGGAAGGACAGATCCTGAAGCTGAGGCTCCAATACTTTGGCCACCTCATGAGAAGAGAAGACTCCCTGGAAAAGGCCCTGATGTTGGGAAAGATGGAGCGCACAAGGAGAAGGGGACGACAGAGGACGAGATGGTTGGACAGTGTTCTCGAAGCTACGAACATGAGTTTGACCAAACTGCGGGAGGCAGTGGAAGACAGGAGTGCCTGGCATGCACTGGTCCATGGGGTCACGAAGAGTCGGACATGACTAAACGACTAAACAACAACAACATGAACCCCTTAAAGTAAACCTGGGTACATGTTTTCCACCTGCCACCTGGAGGAGGCCAGGCAAACGTTGATGCTTCAGATCAGCCCTGGATCTGTCTGGAAACCCTACTGGAGATTGCAGTGAGGTGTGAGGCATTAACATACCCTACATTTCACAAATATTTTTCGAAATGCTTTTTGCGTTTTAAAAACAGTGGTGCAGAAGTGCACTCCGTAAACAAGAAACCAGTGTTGACACTAATGGTGTTTTAAAAGTTATATTCAGTGTTCAGATGCATGCTGCGTTGATTTTGCAAAGCATAAAAAGGGGGAAGCTGTTCTTTGTATATTTATTTGGAATGCTTTCAGGGTATGTTTGACTCTGCCATTGATAGTGGTTCAGTTTGCAGGGCTAGTTGGATGGTTTGTTTGTTCCTATCCATTAAAAAGGGCCCTGCAGCTATTTGCAGAAGGAGACTGGTATTGTATTATTAGTGTTCCAGAAGGTATGGGCAAGAATTTATTATAAATAAAGATATATTTTTTAATAGGAGTTTTCCCATATAACAAAAACTTTTCCAGCCCAGCACACAATCCAGTTGAGCTGCGAGTTCTTTGCTTTAAATTATTTTACACCCTAAACCCTAAACAGTTTGGCTGCTGTTAACTGGCTGCAGGGCTGGCCATACAACTCTTGACATGCTATTTTTCTTGGTTACTAAAACATATTAGAGCGATACCAAATAGCATTAGGTTCATACTCTGTATCAGGGTTCACAGAGAAAAAGATGCTTTGGGCCAACTCTGTTCTTGTAGCTCACACATCCTGAAAGATTGCTTATTAATTTTTCCTACGATCTGTTCTCAGTGAAATAGACTTAGGTTCATATTCTGAAGCAAAATATCAGTTTCAGTAGAAAAGCAACCATTGTTGACATTGTGACACTTTTTTAAAAATGTGATTCTGAAGCACTGATGAAATAAGTTTAGCTGCTTCACTCTACTTGCCGCAAACCCCATCTTGTTTTGGCTGCCTTTTTTTGAATTAATTTTATAATGAAATGATTTTAGAATGTTGCACTATTTTATTGTTGTTAGCCGCCCTGAGCCCGGCTTCGGCTGGGAAGGGCGGGATATAAATAAATTTTATTATTATTATTATTATTATTATTATTATTATTATTATTATTATTATTTTGTAAGATTTGAATGCAGGTCTCAGACCCTCCAAGTGTCCCCATTTTCCAGGGATTTACAGAAGCCCTCCCAGTTTCTGATTTGATCCTGGAATGTCCTTCTTTTCCTTAGGACATCCCTGTTTTCACTGGAGAAATGTTGGAGGGTATGGAGTCATTTGACCCCTGAGCCAAGGAGATAAGCAACGATGCAACCTTTAGAAGACATCTGAAGGGGATAGGGATGGTTGTTGTTTTTTTAAAAAAAATGTTTAATGTTTTCTTAGGTTTTTATATATGTTGGAAGCTGCCCAGAGGGGGAGCCAATGTAGATCTTTTAGGACTAGCGTTGTATAGGATTGCAGCTTAGACTTCAGCAGTGGCTTTGGGCTGACATCTCCTCCTATAAAATCCAGGCACATGCATGTCTGTAGGTACTCAATGACCACCTAGAAAACACATTGAAATGATGAACAAGTGATATCCAGCTGTGGTCGATTGCTGTGTTGTTCCCACCACCAACCTGCCTTTCTATGCAAACGGTGCCTGTTGACTTATACGTGCGTCAGAAGGCTAAGCTGAACTTGCTTTTAATGCTGCAGAGTTAAAAGTTTCCATGCAAGGAGTCATTTGAACTTCACCTTAATGGCGATGGCTAATGAGAGTGTAATTGTGCCTAACCTCCTACAAAGTGATTTCAAAATGGGGAGGAGGCCAGTTCTGTGTTCGCTGCTGCGAACAAATCACAACATTCTGCTGGGCAGATAAAAAGCCTGCCAACCTCGTTGGAATATTCATGCCTTTAATTAGAGAAACCTTTATGACCCGCCTCCATTCCAGAGTTACGATGAAGAGATTTATAAAGGCGGGGGAAAATATGAAATGTTACATGGCCTCCCTATTATTGTTGTTATTATTTGCAATCAAATATAATAGGCGGTGAGTGTGTGTTTAGGCTTGGAAAGCCCCTTGGTGGGCAGGGTGTAAGTGTTGCTACATGCGGTAGCTTACAGCACAATATAGCATCCATGATGGCAAAATAGGGACTAATAATGGAAAGGAAAGTAATGTTAATAAATCTGCATCAGATGTTACATGTAGCATGAGCAATGTCTTTGTTTCAGGTAGCGCAGTTTTAGCAATCACATTATTCATAATTTTAATTAAAGTGTGTTTTCTGCTGCTCAGGATTAATTAATTCCCTCCCTCCCCACTCTTTTTTTTTTTTTTTGCTCTGGCACATCATGCGGTTCAATCGCCATTGCTTCAGTGCTCTTTTACCCTTGTGGAAAGCAAGTAGGTGTTTTCGCAGAAGTCTTACTCCCACGTTGCACTTACATTGACAGGTGTAAACAGAGCTGAAGAATTTCTTGTGTGAAATCTGCTTCTCCTCCCCCCCCAAAAAAAACCTTTGCCCCCCCCCAAAAAATCAGAAGAAAGTAAAGGTAAGGCAGCATGCAAGCAAGATTTGACAAGATCCAATCATCCAACATCCCAGATACAATCATGGCCATGTATTCACATGTATCGCTAAGCCAAACCACGGTTTAGCATAAATGCACAAATGTGCTGATTCTCAGGCAGGAGATTGCAGCCGTTTTGCTCCTCCTTGCTCTTTTTAGTTTAGTGTGTGCAGCAGCGTTCGGCTTAGCGTTTTGTCTGATCCCTAGAATGCTGTTTAAGCTCCCTCCTCCCTAACAACAATCTGTAGCCGTGATTTGTTCTCGAGGGTCAAACGACACACTAAACCGAACCTTGGCACAAGCTGCTGGACAATGGTGAGCTAAAAGGACTGAGGAAGATGAAACTCCTTCTCCCCCAGGGACTGGCACATTCACGCATTCCCAGTATAAGCCACAGTTTGGCCTTCTGTGACATGAAACCAGGCAGATGAGGGGATTCTATGCATTATGACGGAACCAAGAAGCAAGAAGCTTGCATCTTCCCTTGCAACTTACAGTGCCTTTTGAGGGGCTTCCACATTGGGAACTATGATAGTGGTTAGTAGAACTGAATGTTGAGGCATAGTTGCCATAAGGCCCCTCTAAGTGAGAGCCAAAGTGGGAGGGTCCGCAGTAACCCAGGTGAGAGATGGGATGCGGCCCCTATACAGTGGTACCTCGGGTTACAGATGCTTCAGGTTACAGACTCCACTAACCCAGAAATAGTACCTCAGGTTAAGAACTTTGCTTCAGGATGAGAACAGAAATCATGCTTCGGCGGCGCGGCAGCAGCAGGAGGCCCCATTAGCTAAAGTGGTACCTCAGGTTAAGAACAGTTTCAGGTTAAGAACGGACCTCCAGAACAAATTAAGTTCTTAACCCGAGGTACCACTGTATGTTTGAAGACAGCATCTTGCCTCCAAAATATTGGAAGTGATTGCAAATGCAGCATGAAGGTGCTTTGTATACTACTTTTTTCTGTTTTGGGCAGTTTAGTTTCAAGCTGTCAGATTAGGTTGTTTTATACAAACTTATATGAATTGATTTCTTTTTGGTATTTCTTTATTGATGATATTATTTCCAATTGTTTCACACACACACAGGCTATATTTAATTGCTCACTTCATGTCTTGTGAGCCACTTTGGGCACAATTTTGTGGGAAAGTGGCATGCAAATTAACAGAGGATGATGACGACTACAATGGTGGACATCTAGAAAACATCCATGCAAGGGGCTGTACAGGCAAGGTGTACATCTGAGTTCCAATCCAGGAAGTTTGGTTGGGGCTTTCTTTCCTTGCCTGCTCAAAAAATACCCCTTGTTCCCAGGTTGCCTCATCTCAAAAAGGATATCATGGAGCTGGAAAAGGAACAGAAAAAGGACAACCCAAAGAATCAGGGAACTGGAGCACACCCACACACCCATGAGGAAAGACTAAATAAGAATGTCTTCTTTCCTATCTAATGTGGAGAACAACTAACTGTCTTCTGGGAGCCAATTCCATAAATGCTCGGTTGGCCTAAGTCAGGAAGCCAATGGATCTCTGGTTGAAATACAGCTCCCATTATCTTTGACTCCAAACTGGCTGGGACAGATGGTAATTGATGCCCAGTCTCATCCTTAACTTTCTCGGAGCAAATGACTTTTGAAGAGGGAGAAGAAGAAATGACCTCACAAAAGATGTTCTGGAAGGGAGTTCCAAACATAGGAAAGAGCAATCTTGCCAGCTTCTGCTGTCCCCTGCCACTAGCTTTCGCCACCCATGTGCCAATTTTGAAAGCAATGTTCATGCAGCAGCTGCACAGGCAGCCATAGTTGGA